TATATATATATAGGGAGTCTCTGAAGGGTCTGTACCTACAACGCTCCACCAGATAATATAGTATGTTTTTTACTATGTTAATTCTGTTTGCAGTAAAATTGTTAAAGAAACGAAATTTAAAATTGTAATTGCATTGTTTCATTTAAAAGCATATTTCTTGCTAATAAGCGACTGCTTCTAATCACGTTTATCACGTCGGGGTCACCACTTGGGGGTTGCTTTTGGTGTGAAACAAAATAAAACTCTCTGTCAACGGTACAATAAAAAGCATTTCTTAGTGTGCAGTCGTTCGCAGGTATAAGTATCTGGTCCTTAGCGCCAATCTGCCGTAGACCTTTTCCTGGAACCCTGGTGCGTCCCGCGTCTTTTCTTTGTTCTTGCAACTATTAGACTGGTTCGACGTCAGGCTGTCGCTCTTGACCTAATACTTAAAATGGGTCGCTTGCGGACATGTGTACCCACAAACTTTTAAACAAATTTTTTTATGCATTTACAAATTTAAATGCCTTTTTGTTAAAAACGGTTGTCTTTAGAGATATTAGCAAGGTATACCATTTTTAAGCAGAAAAGTTCGGGCAAAAGATTTTTCCAGCCTAAAGTGAAATACACCATGGCACAAAGAAGTTTTGGCAATTTAAGTGCGTCCTGGTGGTCGCTTGTGGTGCCCTCTAGAAGATATAACGAAATCGTCGATAAATTCGAATTTCTCATCCCAAAAAAAAACCGGATAAGTAGTCGAACGATATTAAAGAAAATGTTATTTATTTTTTTAAATTTGACATCCTGTTATCACTTTTTGGACTACGGCAATTTTAGTTCAATCGACTTAGTTTCAACCGTACTATACAGGGTGTCTCACATTTAAATAGCAGGACTTCAGGAATCAGTAGAAGACCTCATTTTGAGTCTAAAAGTTCCTATATATATGGGTCCTAAAACGCTTTGTTTCTGAGATACAGGGCGTTCAATTTTATTTTTGTTTTATTTATTTATTTTTTAACTAAATAACCGCTGACAAAAAAAATCATCATGTTGCGGCGAAAGACTTAGTATTTAAGGGCAAATAATTTGACACAGAAAATCATCGCATATTAGTTCCAGTGGTGGAGATAGAGGGGTCTCTATGCATATTTTTATAAAAAAAAGTATAGCCGATTTGATATTTTCCAAATGTTTTCGAAAAATATGAAAGAGCATTCAATTTTACCCAGAAAAGGCCCTCTTGTCCAAAGTCGATAGGAGGTGGCGTTTTCAAGAAAAACCGAAAATACTGTTTAGAAGTCGAATTAAGAAAAACCGAAAATACTGTTTAGAAATCAAATCAGACTTGAAATGTCATTCTAATATTGACATTTGCGCTTATTTTATTATAGTTTCTAATTGTGTGTAGAGTATTAAAAAAAATTGCAACAAATTCAAAATGCCGTTTAAGTTTACGAACCAAGAATACGCAGATATTCACTTCGTATACGGGTTTGCCAATGGGAACTCGGCAGAAGCTGCTAGGGAATATCGGAGACGATTTCCTAATAGAAGACAGCCGCATCCACACGTTTTTATTAATATTCATCAACGTTTCGCTAATGACGGATTGAATCTGGTCCATAGGGATCGCAACATAATTAACGTTAATATTGGCAGAAATAGGAGGAATCAGCGAATCTTGCACGAATTTGACAGAGATCCCACGACGAGTACCAGAAAAATTTCCAGGATTATTGGTGTTTCCAGGTGCACTATTTCTAGAACATTAAGACGAGATCATAGACATCCCTACCACTTACAACCTGTTCAGGGTTTACGTCCGGGTGACGAGGAACATAGAATAGCTTTTTCTCGGTGGATTCTTAACTCAATTGAAAACGACGGAAATTTTTTATCACACATATTATGGACCGACGAGTCATGTTTTACTCGTCGAGGTGTGACAAATTTACACAATCAGCATGAGTGGGCACATGAAAACCCGCATGCAATCAGACCACGAAATTTTCAGCACGAATTTAGTGTTAATATTTGGCTCGGCGTTTATAACAATTGTCTTTTCGGCCCTTACATCTTACCTCAACGACTGAATTCTGCGAATTTCTTAGAGTTCTTAGAGACCGAGAGTGCCAACATGTGGGAGGAAATTCCTCTGAATTTAAGAATGCGAGCATGGTTTCAACTTGATGGCTGTCCAGCTCATTTTGGCCGAAATGTCAGGAACTGGTTGAACACCCACTTTCCCGAAAAATGGATTGGCCGCGGGGGTATCGTTGCATGGCCTCCCCGATCCCCTGATCTGACACCCCTAGATTTTTTCCTCTGGGGTTTTATTAAAGAGAGAGTTTATACCACTACTGTGGACACAAGGGATGAACTTATTCGTCGGATTCGGAACGCATGCAGTGAAATCAGAGACAATAACTTAATTCAAATGAGACGTTCTATTCAGCGTCGGTGTCAGTTATGTATCGAAGAAAATGGTTTACATTTCGAACATTTGCTTTGATGTAATATGGTTTTCGTTATTTATTTTTGTATTTATTTTCATTTAATTAATTAAAAACAATTTTAACCGAATTTTTGAACTACATATTTAATTTAGTTGTAACACAATGTTTAAAAATTATTATTTGACTTCTAAACAGTATTTTCGGTTTTTCTTGAAAACGCCACCTCCTATCGACTTTGGACAAGAGGGCCTTTTCTGGGTAAAATTGAATGCTCTTTCATATTTTTCGAAAACATTTGCAAAATATCAAATCGGCT